TGCTGTGTGCCATTGCTTGGCTCTCGGAGTCGGTCACCCATGCAGTCTTTGCAGTTGTGCAGAGCCCCATCACTCAATAGCATTCACTTCCATAATCTGATTGTACTTGCAAATTTGGATGCAGCACAAACTTGTTGTTCACTTATTGTACTTGGAATGGTACATATCAATTATCTGAAGGGCCTTATTTCTTGAATTGCCATAATCTTGAGCTATTCAGTAGGTCTAAGACACAGACAGATTTTCACGAGGGAGACGAAAACCACATATCTGATATACAAGCAACCCATTGCCAAATTGCACATCTCTGATACAACACACAGAGCTGTTCAAAGATAAAAGCAGTCAGAATTTTGAGGGCTGAGCACTTTATTTTCACTGTCTTTAGTCTCAAAAACAGTATAACAAGGGAAAGATTCAGTCATCCCATTTTCTCTTTGCAATCCTTGTACGTAATTTTCTTCTAGGTAATTTTTCTTTCTGGGAATAATTAGAAAGAGGGCTAGTTTCAGTCTGTGAAAATGCAGCATTTTTCTTTGCACTGAGATACTCACTCAAGACTATGCAGAGCCAGAAAGCCCTTTATGTGGTATGGGAAAAAAGGAAATAACACCAGAAGTCCGAGTGCTGTTCCTTTCTTGCAAGCTTTTTCTTTGCCATTCTGCTGCAATCTCAGATCCTGACTAGCACCTTCACCTCAACCCTCCCTCTAGATCCATGCATCTCTTCTCTGTATAAAAAAATGCATACAGTAAATTATTACTCCCTTACAGAATGCAAATATTCAAGATGAGACTGAGCTCCTAGCTTAGCGCCACCTCTGGACCTGATATTCTTAAAAGATGGTTTCTGCTTAGATGTAAGATCCTGAGTTAGCCTCAGCCCTAGTAATTATTGACCTGATCTAAAGCTATTAAGTCAATGGGAACCTTCTAATGGGTTTCAAAGGACTTTGGGTCAGGATTTTTGTGCATATTAAGTCTAGTGGTGCATTAAGACACCCCTTATATTTTACTTTGGACACTGACATTTGAAAAGGTCAACCTGAAAGAACCTTTGAGCTGATGATTAAGAGGAAGCAGAGCTAAAATAATAAATTATTATCTCACAATGAACTTACTGTATGCTTTAACATATTCAAAGTAAGATATTTGCATTCTCCAAGGATGGCAAATGGAGACATAAAATACCTCTTAAGAGTTACGTTATGCCTCTATGAATGTTTCCAGAGTGTGGTTATCGTTGTTGAGTTTTCTAAGTACAACACCTTGCAATGAATAGCTTTTAACTTCAGTAGTTGTTGGAAAATAATGGTTCAATCCTTCAGCTGGTGCTTTTCTCTGACATGTTTAAGGAGTCAGCACAGCCAAGAAAATTAGGAAACAAAATAGCTCAATTAGGACACTCAGTATTCATTGCTTAATGAGGACAGCAAGCAAAGACAGAGCAGCTCTCAATTTCTGTGATAAGATTCTCTGACATTTAGAATGCACTGGTGCAGCTGACTGGTCAGTCAAGACCTCCCATTTCAAGTTTCATCACTTAGTGCATTCATGTACCATTTTTAATTCCATAAACTCCAGAAGAAGCTGATTTTTGTTGTGATACTAGGACATGCAGTTACTGTGTCCTGAGCTAGTGTGTAAAAGGATGCATACCTGGATGAAAAAAAATTGTTTGTCTTAGAAAGGGCAGTAACAAGCACAAGAGAAATTATGAGATTCAGCACCTGAGAGAATGGAAAAACCTCCCTCCAGTGTTTATACAGAATAAAGTTGGCTTTCTTATAAAAAGAAGCAAATCAAAGGTGACAGACTGCATTTACAAATGTCACTGTCCAAGACAATCCACATAAAACAATACTCATGCTTTAGTTGACATTACTATACAAAGGAGAGTGAAATGGTAAGTCTCTACAGTTAGTTTGCATTCATTATCTACTCCTTCAATTCCATCCATCAGCAGAGTGATTTTGCTGTTAGGGAGAACTTGGTCTCATCTTCAATCTCATGGCTGATGGATTCCTGGGAGAGAAATACTAATGAAGACATGAAAGTGGGCTTAAAATTTTTGCATAGCTACTAAAACCAGATTTAATTGTCTTTAAACTTTCTGTAACTTAATTGCTGATATTGTTGCAGAAAGGGTGACCTTCTATGGTGATAAACGATGCATTCGTACAAGTTAGCTCTGTCTGGTAATAAGCATGGCCTCTAGGTCAGGCTGAAGGTTGCTGCATGTTGGAATAGTGGATTATCACTTATGGCTCTGGGAGGAGCGATTACACAAAATACGTAACAGAGTTGTAAAGAGCTGAGATATTTATTTTCCATGGAGCTGCAAGAACCAGTTCAATGCCTGATGAAGCCAAACATTGCGTCTGTGGGATGAAATCTCCTTTGTCAGATGCAATCCAGTGACTCTTAACAAGCGGAAAGAAGGGTGTGATATAAAAAGTGTCCTGAAACACTCTATCAAACACACTCCAAAAAATAGCTGTGATGAGGCAGAAATTATTTGGGGCAGACTTTTGGATAGTTAACGTGCTACAGAGCCAGAAACTGTCCTTGACTATGGAAAACAATGGACAATGTGTATGCTGGCTTGTTATTTCAGCTGATGCTGCCCTTCACAAGCTAACACCAAAGAGAGGGGAGTTAATCATGCCTTCACTCAGCAAGACCAGCCTTCTTGTGTTTGGAAAGGAGTGGTGCCAAAGTGGCAAATTTCCCCCAGCATTTTATGGTCAATTCTTCATGCCAGGTGACAGACACCAATTCCAAAACCAAAGAAAAATAAAACCTGGATGCTGGGAAAAAGGCAGACACAAAAGCCAAAACCTAGGAAGTAAAAACTGATGACACAGACTTGGACAGATCAGTTTATATCTAAATAATGGAGGTGAATTTACAGTTTGTCATCTCATAATGTCATGAAAATTGAACTGAAAGAGGAAAAGAGATCTCTGAAGGTTCGTTTGCTGCTTAATCCAAAAATAAATTCCTATCTGAGAATGCTGTAAAGTTCTTGCCACAGGGAAGTAACTGGAAATCAAAGTATGGAAGATGGAAGATACTGCCATCAAACGAAATTTAAAATCTTAAGCAATTGCATGATGGAAAGAGATGTTTAAAGTAATCACAGACAAAAAGATAGAATGAAGGTGAATGTGCAAAGAGAGTGTAAAACTTAGGGAATCTCAGAATATTTATAAATACTCAGAACTGATAAAAAATGAAAAAGCAAAAACAGATGCAAGAAAACCAGTAATAAACAATTGCACCTGTGAGTGAATTGTGCCTGTGTCTGGGTACAGCACTGTAGGACTATTCATCTGCTCCAGGTCTCATTCTCTGCAGTTGTCTTTCATGTGAGCCCTGTTCATCCCCCATGAGTGACCAGACACAGGCTGCATCCGACAAAGGAGGTTCCTCTCTAAGGAGGTGCTGCGTCTCATGCTACTAAGCCTTGAATTGGTCCTTGTAGATCACTGGAAAATGTGTCTCTTAACTACTGAGTACTTATTTTGTCTAGTAGTTCTTCTTGGAAGAAGTATGTTCACCATAACTGATGGTCCCCGGTGTATCTCTTCTGAAGGTAGTGCAGTCAGGTAAGACATTTAATTGGGGGGAAAAAAAAGTGTCTTTTTCAGATCTCCACTGGTTTATGGCTCAAGAGATGTGACCTTATTCACTGACTTATATTTTATAAGAATTGAAGTCAGAAGTATCATTTCTGACAGTGTAAAAAACCTTTTTGCTACAGCTGGGCCAGGCAAAGTTGGCTTCTAGTGAGCATTTCTATTATGGAAACTGTGTCACTTGTCATCAGAGTAACAGAGATAAGTTTCAGCCTTTACCTGTTAACCAGTGCAATAATAAAATGAAATCTTTTACTAGAAAGGCTAATTCAGGAAAAAAAAATCTGAACTGCTACTTTTTTTGCCCTCGTAACTACTGCAATTCAGTGGGTCTATCAAGTATATAGTCTGTTTTGCAACATTAGGTGGGATGTAATTCATTACAAGTGTTTTGTTCCTTTGCCAGGTAAAAACCATAGTTAAAACTTCAGCTTCAGTAAGGGCAGGATGGATCACAGACAGCTTATGGAGGTTCTTGAAAACACATGCTGAGGCTTCGTCCTGTCAGATGATCACCTCACCTGCGAGCAACGTGACATCCACCTCAGCTAGGTAACTGGATGCTTGTATGTGCCACATCGCATGGAGAGATGCCCAGCAGGTGACATGCACCTCATGTAGTTGTCCTTCCCTATGATACAGATGTGTCAATGACAGCCATATGGCTGGGGAACAAATGAACATCTGGTCAGATGGGATGTCTTCCACTGCTGGAAGACATCCATATTTTGATGTAAGACAGGAAAGCCCCTGTTCAAGGGAGAGAATGTGCATATATATCCCTATATTTCACTATTGCTCCTATTTCACATAAACAGCAAGTAAGATCATAGTCTTTGAGAGCCTAAATTAGCGAAGATCCCCCTGCTCTCAACTGCATCTCGCATCTAGTATCACTTCACTAACCAGTTCAGATTGGTGCGGGTTGAGTTGGATCCATGAATTTTAATAGCAGAGAACCTTGTTTTCAACATACATTTCTGATGTTAGAAGCAGTCAGGAAAACGCAGTTCATCTGTTCCCACTAAAGCTAATAGAGCTGCACAGCAGGACCTGGAAGCATAATTGGGACCATTATCTCGTGTTCTGGGGAATGCAAAAGCGATTCTCTCTAACTTAAACTGTATGTATTCCTCTTTCTCAGAGCCAGCATTGTTACCAAAATATTCGCCTGTACAGTGGTGCACACCACCTAGTTAGAGAGAGTTGTGGCTACTTTAACTCAGGCATGTAGTTCTTTCAGCATGCAGAAACTGTGCATAGGTGACTTCACCATTTCTGTTTGCATAAATCTGTGGGCATTTCTGATGGGTTTATGCTCCAGCTGTTCTGGAAACCAAGTCACACAAGGCCAAGAAAGTTGTCAAGTCTTCAGGCTGTATTTGATCACACAGCATACAAGGGGATCAGGCAGGCTTTCGTTTTAAAACACTTGGCACAGAGTCCAGTAAAACATCTAAACGGTTATCATTTATTTATTGTTCAGTTCCCCTGAATGGGAGTCTTTTCAACCTGTACAAAAAGCCAATTAAAAAAAAAAACCCAAACACAAAAGCCAATATTACGATGATGCTGAAGTTACTATTCTAGTTCAGGAAAACAGCTCAATATTTTGAGGGTTGTCACAGAGCCACTGTGAGGGACATGGAGTTGTGCTTGCATGTTCTGTGTGCAGCCTTCAAACACCAAGGGAGTGGTGATGCATTTTCTCTAGCAGGAGAATATAAAAACCCTTTAACTTAATCCCTTCTGGTTTTGTCCGTCAGATGGGAATGGTAAGCTAGACAGTATTCGGAATTTGCAAGAAGCAGTGAGTCCAGGCTGTATGTAAGAAAGTAATAACAAGGGTAAATGTGAAATCTTGTGCAGGGGAAGGCAATATCTATTTACAGGGTCTCTAAGTAAGTTGATTTTACCAACTTGCATGCTTTTGGTCTCAGATCTCATCCACTCACAGTTTCACATCCCCATACCCACAAATATCAGGACACGTGTGCCCAAGTGGTCTGGCCAGGAACACCTGCATGAAGAACCTGAATTACTGAGTCTTTGCTACATCTCTGATGTTCTTTTGACTGTCAGTGGTGAAATACCTTGGGGATAGATCTTTTACACCCTTTAGGAGTTCTAATGGGACAGTCTTTTGCTTCAGAATCTTACTTACTTCGGTCTCTATAAATTGCAAGCAAATTCGCATCTCATTATCTGTTCTTCCTTGTCTGTTTGAAATCTGTGTCTGTTTTCCTGGTGGACTAATAAGAAAAGTGTATGTGATTTGCTGCAACCTGGCTGCAGTCATCCAGTTGACAAGTCATCTGTGCTGTGGTCTTATCAGATCTTGGCAGACAAAGTACATGCCTCAATTTTGCTTCTGGGAAAGGTTTCCTGGGAGCAGTGTCCTGGGAATGATGGCCTTCATTATTGGTCTAGGCGATTCTCTTAACCCTTGTTCTGCTGTTTCTTCTGGTGCTCGCACATTTGCATCCATAGTTCATTTATACCATTCTTTTCTTTCTGTTACAAAATTCTACAAGCTGCTCTTACTATTTTTTTTGTGCAGGGCTTTTACATTTTTACATTTTCATCTCCAGTTCATTACGTTTGTAAATGGTGAGTTTCTTATTTTCTCCTTTTCTACTTGCTTACAAAACACAATACAAACCCATTTTTTTCCACCACTTCTCACCCAAATGCCAGTCCTAACGTGTATTCCCCTCTGCCATGACTCAGTCATCGTACTGAGAAAAAGGCAAAACTCTATGTCTGAAATTCATGCCAGCATGCCAATAGAAACATTGCCTCCATCTGAACTGGAATCAGCAACTTTGAAGGAGCATTGGTGCCAGATGTTAAGATATCAATTTAGCACTTGAACTAGATATCTCAGAAAATTGAAACAAATCGATAAAACTAAAAAAAAAAAAAACAAAACAAACAAAAAAACAAACAAATAAAAAAAACAGGAACTGGAAATAAAGCAAAAAAAAAGCTCTATCCACATGTTAGTAGATACTCTCATATAGTCACTATGTCATTGCACTTTGTCTTTTTCATCCAAAGTGCCTATTCAGATAAGATAATGTATCAAAGTATCTTAGAGTGAAATTCAGTATCACACTTTAGATGTGCTTGATGATGAAGCTCCACAGTCAATATGCTAGACAAAGAACAAAATTCAAGGACATGTTTGCAAATAGTGATACTGGAAAACTGGCTACGAAATAGTTCCCTTTGAATCAGTACTTCTAAGAACAGCCGGGTTTTGCAGCCGAGTTTGTGCTGGCCTTATGCTACCTGTACACAGCTCTGCACTGAAGTTGCAAGAGAAACTCATTCTTGGCAGCTCGGAGTTCTCCATCGCTCAGGGGGGAAAGAGCAGCTGAGAAGCATCTATGGGGCATGTCTTGTCCCTCTCCATGTAGGAAGCACCTTAGCAAGAATCTGCATAATTAAGAGATGCAGGGGTGAGTGAAGGCCAGACCAGAATGCATCGTGTTCTGCTCAACCAAGAGCCACTTCAGCCATGCTGAAGTCTTCCAGGTGGCCCATGGTCATGGATACAGTGAGTTGTTTAAGTGTTTTTGTGCCAGTGCAGGAGGGCCTGCACACCAGAACTTTGCTCCAGCTAGCAAGGGGAATAACAACAGCAAAGACAAGGTCAGCATAGGCTTCAGTACAGCATTGCACAAACAGTCCTATGCCCTTGAAAACATTCTTAGACTACACCACCTTCTCCATCATTTGTTTCTGGTACTGATGTTAATCTGGTTTAGCTGAAGACTGAAATCCTTGTCTACCCGTGCAGCCGATCTAGGGCATGTCTGTTAGATGGTTGCTGGAACTCAGTTTTATGTATATTCAAATGGAGGCTAAAAAAAAAAAATACATGCAAGAGCAGGTTAAAATCATGATTTAAGAATCAAAGAAAGTAGTAATTGTATGTAGACTATATAGCAACTGTGATGTTTATTTTTTTTCTTTAAAACCCCCCCATCGTTCCCTTTGCCTTTAGAAAACACTTAATAAAGCCATATCATCATTAACGCGCTGTAGTTTCAACAACTTAAACCCAAGGTCTCACCGATTGTACCTAATAAGGTGCTTGAAATTCAAACAGTAACACCATATAAAATGGAACAAACCCAAAGTTTCATGGCAGTCCACAAGCCAATAATACAAAATGGCATTTACATGTAAAATTTTATAAGTCCTTGCCCCTTCTGAAATCAAAACTGAGGAGAACAGAAATGGGGTCTCAACACCAATGCAAGGGATGCACTCAAAGACCTTTGTACCAGCACAAGTGAGATCAGGTTCTGGGGCAAAAGCATGGGAATACTTTATTTTTTTTTTTAATCTAAGCATTGACATGCCATATTTTATGACCATTTACATGTGCAAAGATGCATCTGAGCTCAAAGCAGACAGATGCATGTTTAATTGTTCAGCCTGCCTGCACAAATAACAGTTTCCAGGCATCACAAGCTTGCATGTAGGAAATGATATTTCATGAATTTTAGTCAGAGTCATGAGGTCTGGTTTTTAAAAAGTGTATCTTTCAGATTAGCTCCTGCTTTAGAAATCTTTCTCTTAGGAGAATGAATTTCAGTCTCACAAATATGCATCTAGACAAAGGAAGGAGATACTGCTGAACAGAGAAACTCTTTAGATCAAGCTGCCAAAAATGAATACTGAAATTCTTGCCCAAGTAAAATCAGTGGTGTTTTCCCCACTGACTTCCATCCTGACAGAACTTCATTTTTAGATGTTCTTGTTCAAATCATAGTATCTGAAGGGATGCTTAGAGAAGTACTGAGCTCTCCTGGAAGAATCTACGCCATGCTGCTCTCAGCTGTGTTGCTAAGAATCAGCTCAATTCTTGCTTGTTTCAAATGGCTGATTGAAGTATTCATACATGGAGGGGACACTGGTGATTGGGGTCTGCAGAGAAGTGGGGTATTTTTTCCACAGGCAACAAGTTCTGCACTGTATTTTTTAAAAGACCAGTGTGTACAACACTTCACTGGGACATGCATAGCTTTGCACAAGGCACTAAAGGCGATAAAATGTCTTTTTTCTTGTTTATTTTTCCAGTTTCCACCTTTTATCAATTCTTTTCGTTCCCATTGCATGAGCAAAGCTATCATTTAGAAGTGAACTCTAACAAGCTAATCATAATACACTACTGAATTTCAGATACCTGCAACCATTAAAAATATACGCAAGAGCTAATTTTCTGAAGAATTTATAGCTAGATCCACACAAGATCTTAGTAGTGATAGTACATCACCTTTCACATGCCTGGCTGCCTAGTGCAACCTATAGCCTTACGGACAAAGAGGCTCCCTATAGAGTGCATCAAACTACCTGAAGAAAAGGATAAGCAAAAGCCAGCATCATGAAGGGGTGACAGCTAACAGGAAATACTGATACAAATAAGTTTATAAATCAGTTTATCTCCTCACACTATTTTCACTGATATAAGTTCCTTAAGCAGTGAAAAGGCACTTTATCTGGTATTGAACAGCTATGTTAATTGAAGGTTTTACCTCTTCCTGTTATTTATTATTGCTGGCAAGGTGTACCTTACTGTCCCTATAGATCTGCTGGGGGAAAAATGATATATGCATCTCTTTTGAGAAATCAGCCAGGTTCATTTAGGTCATCTTCACTGACTGTTCACAACCATTTTTCCTGACTTTTCTTGCAGCAAGTACAGGAGTCCTCATGCAGTCGCTGCCACTGGCAGAGCTGTGAAGACAAGTTTATCCCCTGGAGAGGGAATACCAGGATGCTCCCATCTCCATTAGCAGAGCTGTTGTCAAAGGAGCTGATGATCATACAGTGATTCATCAAATATTCTGTTCATGCAGGATATTATCTATTGCTTCTAGCTCCATCCTGTCTCAGAATTTGTTGCATCATCCCCCCCCCCCCATTTAGATGTGAGTTTGGGGTTGGCATAGGCAGACACAGCACCACTCTCTCTACCTGTTGTGTAGAAATACCCTTAAACACAAGAGGTGATGGATTGCCTGAAGACTAAGAGAGTCATCAAATCAGGGATTTTTCTGATAAGCCTGCATGACTGGATTTGTCCCCAAAAGGAGTTAGACAACAGGTAGACTCCTGAGTTAATGGGCAAGTCCTTGGTGACTTGTTGAGCTTTTATGCATGTGGCCTGAGAGCAAGTAGTCGCACGTATCTTAATTTTTCCTGCATGTTTTAAAAATAGTGGATTATCTTAATGGTAATATTTTGTGATGCATGTTGTGATCAGAGTGTATTCTTTCATAAAAAGATCTCTATTAGGAATTTCAGGAAGATGTGTTGTAGCTTGTTACTAACATACAGTGCAAGCTGATGTTCATCATTAAAAATAAAAGGGTGCTTGTGTGGGATGGAATGAAATGCTTTTTCTCTCTCAGCCTGCTATTTCAGGTCTCTGTTTCCTTCAGAAGCAGGAGTGAGATGAATGAAACTTTTCTTCATTTTGCAAAACAAAAGAACAAAACTCTCTTATACCATTTACCTTTTTCACTCCATAAATGTTATGAGTAAATGTTATTTACAAATTTATATTGTGACAATGTCACAATTTTTTATTGTGAGGGTAATTGTTCTGAGACAGTCTTTCAGTCATGACTAATTTTGTATTTGGCTGACTCATTTTGTCTTGCAATTAAATAAGATGTGTATATTTTGATCTTTAAAAATGAATGCTAGATATTATGCCAAGAAGTAATTGAATTATTTTGCATGTATTATGTTTTTGCAATTTAGACATGTTTAGCTAAATAGACTTAGTCTTGTTCTCCAACTGACTTATTTTTGTTTGGTTTTTAATGATTCTGCTATCTCCTTGATGAGATATCCCTCTTCAGAAGGCTAAGCATTGAGATAAATACAACATATTATGTTTCTTCGGAAAAAAATCAACTATTGAACTGACAGACATGTAGTGGACCAAGTCTGGCTTTGTATCCTGTCAAATAGCTAGTCTCTGTGTTCAGAGAGATGGAGGGCTTGAGCATGGTCTTCTTCAGCATTTGGCCTTGCTCAGTCAGCAGTGTCAATCCTGCTCTCTGTTTTGTGACAGGAACCCTACAGAGGAATTGCCCTAACCCCCAAATCAGTGCCAACTCCTACATTCCCCAGTGCTTTAACAGATCAGCTCTAATGCTTCAAGACCATGGGTCCAGACGTTGTTTCCTTCTGGGACATGTCTTTGAGAAACTAAATAAGACAAAATCCTGAATTTGAAATTCCAGTGAAAATAATTTCTTACTGGTCAATGACCCAAAACATAGATGTTGAACAAAAGACCTCTGGTTCTCAATTACTTGTCTCAGTTTCTTTTTGGTCTTGAGCGTTCTTATCAAGGTCACCATCTCCTGGATTTTAGGTCCTCTTTTCTTGACCTCATTCCTCCATCCGACTGCCTTTTCTGTAAATGCTTGAGTACTTGCAGCAAGCTCCCTTAAATTTCAGCTGACTCCAGCAATCCAAAGATTCTCTTCCACCTCTTCTATATGACGATCATCTATTAGTCTTACCACAGTCTGTCTAGTCATCTTCCTTGGATCTGTTTGAAAAAAGGATTTGTTGTTAATATCTATACCTTTGTCATGTTTTCACCACATCATTTTAGAAAGCTTTATTTTCTTTTATACTTAATTACCTAGAAATGATATTCTTTTCTGTTTTCCTTGTTTATCCATGATTTTGAGAGATGTCTTTATGCTAGTGATTTCCCTTTGCCTTCTGGTTAATCACGTCAGTAGTTTTCACATAACTGATTTGATATGTTGTATGTGTTTGCTCTGAACTGCTAACACAATGTCTTTACACTTCCCATATGATAACTGAAGCTTTTTGTCCTTTCATCTATTTAATTTTACATTAACAACAGTCCTTAGTTTATGTGGTTCCCTTTTTTGAAGTTAAGCATTATTGTATTAGATTTTTTTTTGGCTTTTTTGTTTCTGTGGTAATGTTTAAGCCAGTTAGGTCACTCTTACAGAGAGGTTTTCGATAAGGACATTTGAACTGGGTTCTCTGCACTTCTCATGACTAAGGCAAGAGCAACTTCTCCATTAGTGGATTACTTGAGTAATGTTAATTACTAATGTCACTAACGTTGTCTACAAATTTAACCTTGCCATCACTTCATAACACACTTACCCATATTTACCTGACGTACACGAGGAGGGGAGCATAACTGAAGTCTCCTCCCCTCACAGCAGATAGCACTGGAAATCGGACTTTGTGAGAGGTTGACACTGTACCTGCCTTTCACAGTCCCAGATCTCTGCAACAGACTAAAAGAAACAACCAGTCCAAGTCATCTCCAGAAAGATTTCAAAAGGGTTACACCTTCATTTTGGAGGTTATTCGTAACATTGTTAATCACTTCTCGCTGCTGCTGCTTAAAGCTTCAACCCAGCATCTGCCAATGCACTCACAGTCAGGCCATCAGCTGCGGTAACTTGCCATGGTGCTGTCAGACCACTAAATATTCTGCTTTTCACCAACCTCAGGTCTGCATCAGATCTTGGGGTTTTATCATACTGACTGAATTTTTGCTGAAGCTCATGCATTATTTCTACTGAAGTCAACTAATTAACACATGGGGTTTACGTTCTAAACATTCTTTGCCTGAGTCCATTATTTAAGCTTTCAGGTGTATTGTGTAGCTGCAGCATCTCTCAATCATTTCCTCTTTGTAGTGGTATGTGATAGGATCCCACACTACAGCTCAGCCTGAATCATAAGATGATTCATGTGTCCATGTTCTGTATAAAAACAACATCGCATCAGAGCGATCTTTAAACCAAGAAACTTTATTTGTTCCTCATTCCTTTCTTTCCTTCACCCTTACCCACTCATTAATGGGCACTGATGCATAAGAGCACACATGGAACTTGGATTTCATGGGGAAATCCTCCTAGACTTTATGGGTTTTTGAAAGAGCCTGACCCCTAGAAAACACCAAGTCAGAACCTGAGAAAGGTAAGCAAATGGCTTAGACTATCCAGATACTTTCCCACAATAGAAGAAAAAAAGTGGAGGTAAGTGCTGCTAAGGAAATTGGGAAGAGATCCAAAATAGTTAGGCACCTTAAAAGAAAGGAAGCCTGCTGAAGGTCCAGTGAAAAATTACAATCCACAGCTCCCAAGGGATTTCTTTCCTTTTTCTGTTTTTTTTTGTTTGTTTGTTTTGTTTGTTGGGGTTTTTTTTTTTGTTTTGTTTTTTAACTGCAGGTACTTTGCCTGCTGCAAGTTCAGTCTCCTGGAAGAAAAAAATAAACCCAAAACCAAAAACCAAAACAGAAACCAAAAAAAATGTCTGATCCGTATAGGTAAGCACCTGGCTCCCATCTGAGCAAATATAAAAGTACATAACGATTATATCTGGACATCTACCTAGTAAGAAGCTTACAGACAGCTAAAAGCTCTCCAACCTAACAAGCACAGGAAGAGTCAACAACTGGAAGCTGAAGTTGCGCAAATTTGAGGTAAAAATAAGGTGCACATTTTAATGACAGAGACAATTAGTCTTTGGCTCACCTTACCAATATTATGTGGTACTGTCTCCATTACTTGGTTCCTTTAAAATCACGATTGGTTTCTCTGGAAGATATATCTGTCAGAAAAATTGGGAATACATATGGCATGAAGGACAGATTAATCAAGGGCCATTAACCGTGATGGTCTGTATGTGCCTGCCATCACAGGTTGTCCTGAAATTGCCGAATGTGAGAAACAGAGTATTCTGTAAGAAGTATTTCTAAGCGCATGCTCTCTTCCCCTAGGTATTTTTTATTGGTTACTTTATAAGAGATGTGCTTTAATCCACCTAACAGTCCTTATCTTCTTAGAGATGAAATACAGGAAATTAAGAGAAGAAAAAGGAAATTCAATTGCATATTTGATAGAACCACAACACTAATTGCTGTAATGGTTACTTCTGGACTTCAAATGTCTGAAGAAAACTTCCCTGTGTTCATGAAAACTGCAACACTGTTGAGACTGAGAAACACCATTCATTAGCCTGCTTTTGAAATGGGCCCTGATATAAATTAGAGTCAAAGTCAGGACAGGAGGGGGACAATGACTTCCCAATAAATCAAAGAAGATCAGCTCCTTCCTCAAGTAAACAGGATTTTGGAAGGAAATGCAGTAACATACCATTCTTGTGTTAATATCGTTTGGCAAGCAGGCATGCAAGAATGATTTAATGATGTATTGACTCATTTAAAAATATCAGTTTTCCCACAGAAGGCACGAGTGCTAAGGAGAACACAAAACAGCTTTAAGACGCAGAGGTCAAATGCATTCTAAAAATTGAAATATAATCATTATCTTCATTTTTTCACTTACCAAAGCTGACAGGATCTGTGGTCATCATAACTCAGCACAGACAGATAAAAAAGAAACTAGGTATTCGGTCCTTTTGTCAAGATGAAAGAGACTGTCGAGCTACACTGTCACATGAATGTCAGGCATATTCTGATAGCTATTTATTCTACCTGTATTGGCTGTAGGGTAATTACCAACCTAAAAGTGGGCCAATAGCAATTTGTAGTTCCTGTCAAGTATGTCGGGACAAACATGTTTAGTATGAGGGTCAGAAAAATCAAGTTTCAGAAAGATTAAGTTTCAACTATGAGAAATAAAGCAAGCAAGCTGTGTGCAACAATTTAGAATAAAAAATTACTATCCTCAAGAGAGTGTGCTGAATTTATCAAAAGTGGCCAGTCTGCACATCTTAAGAGCAATAATCCATACAAGGCAAATTGGTTCATCAATCGGTATGAAGTGAGGATGGCAAAAATGATATTAATATATTCATTTCAAAGGAAATTAGGAAAAAACTGGAAGGAGCATGTACAACTCACCCCCAATTTTTAAATCCTTAAATGCCTTCTTGATGCAGTGAAGGTTAGGATGTAACAGAGACAGATGCTGTAAGGAGCATGCAGCAATAAGGCTGCACAGCAGGACTGTGCTTGGATACTAAGGCAAGGAACATCTATAGACAAACCCAAGCAGGCAGATTATCTTGTCCTGCTATAAGCACGATAGAAGCAATAGGTGAAAGTAAGATCACCAAATTAGAATTATCCTACTGCATTTTAACTTCAGCCTTCCCCTTTGCCAGGAGGCCTCTTTCCATTAATGGTATTTTGTTTGTAGGAATGGTCATAATCAGCTTGTAGGGAGGGCGCCATCTACTTATAACTGCACCAATTCATGAGGTGTTGTCTGAGACTTGTCTGAAATGCCTTCCCTGTTACTGCAGAGGAAACCTGGAAGAAGGAGTTACAGAGCTTAGCTCTTTTATCTTTTGCTTCAATTTCTGCCTGGCCATCTATGAATAAAGCACTCGCTGGACTACACACTTAACGAGCCCTTCCACCCTTCATCTGTTACTTGCCATTTAACTCTACCTTTTCCAGGCTGCAGTGAATGGGGACCCATCTGGGCCATGGAAGGATGAGTATCTGACCACCTATCGATGCCGAAACCACTCAGGCATTTTTAGGCCTAAGCATGTTTCCAGTCTATCTATCTGTAACATTATGGAATGATCTTCATCTAAAGACAAACTCGACAAATCAATGACATGGTCTCGAGGGCTGTTTAAATACCATTACTGTTTGTAAGCTATTACTTCATTCTGTCAAGTGGATACTGCCACCATTAATATAAAATGGAGTAAATAAATAGATGGAGCCCATAAACTAAGGAAATGCTTAGTTTATAAACTTTGCATTTAGAGAACCAGCTTTGATTTGTCTGTGCACAAATTGTGGGGTTTGAAAGTCTTCTGTTTATTATTGCTATTTACTACTAATGTATAATAAATATATAATACAGACTGAAAGATGACATTAATTTCATATACATTCAGAATAATATACCTGTAATGTTTCATCCTGCCCCCTGTAGCAAAGAATGGAATCCCCCTGGATGACTGACAAACTTTTCACAGTCTTTGAAAATCATCAACTAATGCATGGCATACCAGGATGGGGGAAAAAAGGCCAGAATGCCTGCAGTGATCATGGGTACAGTAAGTTATGCGGCTGTTTTTCATCAGTGATAATGGCTTCTGAGAGGTGAAGAAGAAACTGGTTGAAAACCAGGGCATTTTCTCACAAGTGTGCAGTGCACTCGTGTGCACACGCACGCACACACACTGCTCTCTTATCTTTTCTGACTTGCTACAGATTTTGTGGTGCTCCAAATTTCCAAGGAAGTACTTCTAAGGGAATTGTACTTTTTTGTTCTCTCTCTTTCAATACTGATGTCAGCAGTTTTTTAAAAGCCACATTATCAAAATGATGGTAGAGAGGAGGTCTGGCATAATTAAATGGCTTATAACAAGTTTTCCCGTTCTCGTTTCCCTTGATAATGCAGCTTTTGAGAACTATTCACTGTAACAGAGAGAGAAAAATCAGCCTGCAGAAAAAACAGACCAGACTCATTCTGCTGCTTCACAGATGACCAGAATGATTATCCACTTTGAAGTCATGTAAGTGAAAAATATAAAACTTGCTTAAATATGCTTATCAGTTTTGATTAGCTAATGACTTCTTTCTTAGGATAATTGGCCCTTCTGGGAATGGCATTTCTTATATTTCCCATTTGTTTCTTCTTGGCATCCAGGGAACCTTTACTTTCCAGTTCCAGTGAAGTTTACTCTGATTAAACTTGGTTGTTGGTTTTAGCTGTCCTATGCAGGAAATAGTGGCATTGCTAAGGGTTAGGGGTTAGGACTTACGGATTTTATTATTAAGTCTGTAACCTGCTTAAATTGTACCTTTGTTGTTCAAATGTCATGTGCTTTTACTTACCCACCCACTTAAAGAGAGGAAGTCATCATAATCTTGTAACTGATGATGTGAGATCAAGTCTATAAAGCTCTTTTCACATCTTATATGTGCATCTATCATATCTTCAAGGACATTGTAAGGTGTGTTGACTAGAAGGGGGGGGAAGTGAAGAGCTGAGACAACCTTATGTAGGATCCTTCCAGTTCTCTGATGTTCTGGTAGACTCAAGAGAGCAGCAGTAGCCTGCATACCCATCCGTCTCAAATGTCCAGGAGAAACTAATCCTTGTTTTTGAATGAAGGCTTTATCAAGCTCATGTCTCACTATCTTCATACAAGACTGCTGTAAGTTCTTTCAGTAAGCTCCAACTATGGAGATATAACTGCATCCTTTGAAGACAGTTATCCCAGCAAAGGTATCAAAGGCTCCATGAAGACTCTGTCATGGAATCAAAAGACAGGCTAGTCCATGGGCTTTCCACTGTTTAATGCAAGACCAACTTCTTCATGTGAACAGGTCCAAAAATCAGCTCTTGAAGAATGGGCCATAGTATTTCTCACCAAGAACAATCGCATTAATGAAAGAACCTTGAAGTGGAAAATATGCTTACTGTGGCCAGAACCTCTGGTTTGCTAGTCTTGTTGCCTCTAGCATATACTGGTGAACAAAACTGTAGCAAGGCATTTTGACGCACAGAAACTGTCCCTCTACAACCACCTCTTTCCATCCACCACCACCATTATCTTCTGCTTTCCCTGCAACCACAGCCCTCACCTCACTGGGAAGCTGCTGAAGCTGGCAAAGCTCAGAGATATTAACCACTCTATACATCTTCCTCTGTCTGTGCTGCAGCACTGCAGGTAGATTTGGGCTAACTATACTCAGTGAAATCACTAGGAGCTTTACTGCAGTAAAACCCTGAATAAATTTGTGTACTGGATTTCTGTGGCCACGTTTTGGTGCGGAGGTGTGTGTGGGGGGGTACAGGGCTGGCCTCTGTGAGCTGCTGCTACAAGCTTCCCCCATGTCTGATAGAGCCAATGCTGGAGCCCACGCTGGAGCAGGTTTGCTGGCAGGACTTGTGACTCTGCGGGGGACCCACAATGGAGCAGTGTGCTCCTGAAGGACTGCACCCCATGGAAGGGACCCACACTGGAGCAGTTTGTGAAGAACTGCAGCCCATGGGAAGGACTCATGTTGGAGAAGTTCATGGAGAACTGTGTCCTGTGGGAGGGACCCCAGGCTGGAGCAGGGGCAGAGTGAGGAGTCCTGCCCCTAATAGATTAATTTCCCTGAGTCGAGTCTGTTTTAACCATGACGGTAATTGCTGAGTCATCTCTCCCTGTCCTTATCTCAACCCACAAACCTTTCACTATATTTTCTACCCCCGTCCAGCTGAGAACGCCCCCTGTGCTGCTTGGGGGGGGGGAGGAGGTAGAGAAATCAGGACTGAAGTTGAGCCTGGAAAGAAGGGAGGGGTGGGGGTAAGGTGTTTTAAGATTTAGTTTTTATTTCTCATTACCCTACTCTGATTTGATTGGTAATAGATTAATTTCCCTGAGTCGAGTCTGTTTTAACCATGACGGTAATTGCTGAGTCATCTCTCCCTGTCCTTATCTCAACCCACAAACCTTTCACTATATTTTCTACCCCCGTCCAGCTGAGAACGGGCAGTGATAGAGCAGCTTTGGTGGGCACCTGGGATCCAAGCCGGGGTCAACCCACCACAATTTGGTAATCCTATCCTATAGTAATGGATTTGTTGATAATAAGAATAACATCTCATGCCTGTGGCTGATTGCCTAGATGTCTCTTTGAACTCAAAACCAAGCAAGTTGTTTGTGGCTAAAAGTTCTATGCCAATGACATTGAAAAAGTGGCTTAAAAATAAAGCCTTTGTTTTAAGTAAATGTAGCAGACTCCATTTGACCAGCCAACCCCAGCATGGGAAAAAAGAAAAGTTTGAGCTTCCTTAACACAGAATTGAAATTTTGAGTTATGTTTATAAAATGCACATTCTTGTATTTGATATTTGTTAGTTTCCTTCATTTAATTTTTTTAGGTAAAATATCACATGATAAATCATATCTAATCACTCTGTAATGTTTGGGGTTTTGAATGATTTCTTCAATAGTTGCTGATAGGCGAACTGGCAGCATTTGATCTGCAGGCTCCTTTAGAGGAATGGATTCTGCACGGGAGGCCGGGATGCACACTGTGCTGTGGCTCGTTGCTCAGTTTTGTGATTGCTCTATAGTGAACTGTAAAACTCAAAGCATTAAGTTTTAATTTAAATCCAGGTGAATTTCTTAAACAGGGTTTGCAAGGTTAGTCTAGCCTTTCATAAACAGATGCCCCCATCTGCCTTTGTGTTAATAAGTGCCCCACGAAACCACTGATGTTTGTGTGGAGCATGGACAGCATCTATTCTACATTTACATGTTTAATGTAGAGAATAGCTCCTCCTCAGACCATGACCTTTCTGCCTGTTTTTCAGACTTCAGCCTTGTAGCAAAGCTAGCTTTGGCTGGCAAAGCAAATTAGGACAATAGTGTACAGCGTCTGAATTTTTTCAAGTTGAGAAACTGAATTAACACCCAAGCTAAAATATTTGTTTGCTGACCTCATTCTCCTCTCCAGGCTATCATGTTGCAAACAGAGGTGACATACTAGCTCAATGGAATAATGGAAAAGGCATGGATTAGATGAAACCTCAAGAAAATAACGCTTTTAACACAGATATTTCTTCATTAATGACAAGAACAGAGCAAACAACAACAACAAAGGTCTTAGCTGCCAAAAATGCAAAGAGAAAGGTACAAGCTTTTCCAGGATGAGGTTTAAATTCCTGGATTCTTTCTCTTTCTGTAGCCTTCAGCTGCCAAGATGAAAGCTTGTACAGGCAGTAATGAGGATTGCTGGCAAATGAACCCTGTGTGGGTGGACTGATTTCAGTCAAAGTGTTTTGAATAACCAATCTTAACCTTCTATCAAAACAGTAAGCAGGAAATCTTAAGTTAAATATGCAATTTTGATCTTGTTTTGCAGATATATCTATCTTTTATATAGCTAGGAAATCCTGAAGTTTTGGGGTTTTTTTATTTTGATTGGAATAACCACTAACAACTGTCAGCTGGGGATTAAATACAATTAAATTTGCACTGAGTTGGGAGTTTCCTGGTGTTAATCAACAAACACACATCCCTCCCCCTGTACCTGTGACTGCCACACACTTTCTGAGAATTATGAGTTTCAGAAAAGTCTTTTCCCTGTCCTCCCATCTGCCAACGGAATTCCAGACAGGACTACTCACAGGAATTTATATCTTCATCACTGACACCTACATTACCTGCTCCGAAACTACACAGCTATGGTGGGAGCGTTAACCCTCGTGCCCTTATCACTTTCACACTCTTGAAGAGCGAGTTGCAGCAGCAGTTCCCTGAAAACTGTGCCAGTTCCCCAGTTTTAAGGGTCACCACGTTCCTAGGTATCGAGCTCTTTCTTTACTGTTTACCAGCTATCTTAGAATTTGTGTGAATGAGACACAAATCAAAGTGACATTTTTATATCTGTAAGCTCGAGGAGGACAACAGCTATAGCAGGTTTAGAAAAAAAAGTGCACCAAAATAATAATAAAAAAATCACAGCCCTTGAATAGCTTTTGCCTGCATTTTTATTAGGTCAAATATACTTCTCCTTCTATGCATTATCATTTTTCACTCATCATTCACTTATTTTTTTTAATCAGAGCTTTTGTGGCCTATTTTAGGCAGAATTTGGCTTTCAATTTAAAAAGCACAGAAACATCATTTAAAGAGGTTCAGTGTCATTAAATGAAACTGAAATATGTTGTGTATATAAGAAAATCACACATTAAATACAAGTTTATTTAAAACTTTTACACAAAGGGATATTAATTGCAATCTGTGAATTGATGGATCGTAGGTGGAATTTTCAATAGTACCTAGTGGGGCCTTCATATAGAATTTTATTTTTACAAAATATCTATTTTTCTACTGTATTTCTCATTATTCACTTTGCCCTGCATTTGAGAGCTGAACTCTGAAAAGGAGCAAGCCTTGTGGAAATCTGTAATGATCAAAAAGTCAGTGGTAAAACTTTTTGTGACCATTTGGAAGAGAAATGGGCACATGAAACCCAGAAGAAGAAAGTCACTGATAGGGCAGATGCAATAAGCAAAAACAGGAGCAGAAATAAATGTGTGGAATTGAGTCTCTGTTGGATTTAATAAAATATTAACATCAGAACCCTGAGAGCACCAGTAGACCTTAATGATGCTGACTGGCCTCACCCAGGACTCCCACCCTCTGCCCATGGGCCTTGGAGCCCCACTTCAGCTCAGCCCTGAGCCCTGGGTCCCTGCCCAAGCTATGCTGTAGCAGTGTCTGCCCCCAGTCCTGTCTCACCCATGGACCCCTCGGACACGTATTGTAGCCATGTTTCTTGTCCTGTCTGCAGCCCTGTCTCCTGCTGCTCCTGATGGGACTCACTCTCTGGCTGGGGCTGGATGGACCCTGTTTCCAGCACCCGCTGTGCTCAGGTGCTGCAGGAGCTTGTCCTGGTCAGCGAGGACACCGTCCAGGCTGGGACCATCCTTGGCTCCTGGCTCACTCTCCCTTAGGAGCAGCCTGTCCTCACTGCTCCCTGACAATCCAAGACAGGACAAAATTTTTTCTTGCTTTCATAAATTCCTATGTGATCTGTACATAATACTCAGAAAAGGACAAGAAGATGAGTGTAAGCACATCAAGAATGCCCAGTACTCAAGGGAAAGGCAATCCACCCACTACTGAGACTTGGAGCCCGCGTGTGATAATACTGTCCCTGGCAAACCAGAGGCAGATGAAAGAGAAAATCAGGATAATCCTCTCAACTGCTAAGAGACCTTGATCATGTAACATGAGTGCCCCAAAGAGCAGAAAATGTTCTTTATTCCTGGTTAATGTTTAAAGGCTTCAAAGTGCAATATTGCTATGGCTGTGACTGAAAAGGACAAATCCTGCTCACAAACTTACCTCAAGGTTTTCTCTCTTATTTCCCAATGAACACATTTTTTTCTCAAAATACCAAAAAAGCTGTTGCTTTGAGACAAAACGCCAGTAGCTGAAAACTTCGATTGACTCTAGGAGCTCAGGTCCTCTAACATAATGCAAAAACTCTACCTTACCATATATGGGTTATAATACTCATGTGTGTTTGACACTTTACCACCACTGGAAAAACACAGTCCTGGTAGTGTAAATGTGGGAGGACTCCAGCCTGCACAGCTGTTTTGAATGCCTAGTTTCCATTTCCAGAAAATCCTGACACCAGCAAAAGTATAGTTTATTTGGGAACCAAATGCATTAGTCATTAAAAATTTGCCACAGGCACAAATTTCTGAAAGTACTCTGTTTTGGAAAACTCAAATAATTTCTTGGATTAGTTGGGATATTTCTCTAAGAGAACAGAAATAGCTATATTGATTCTTGGATGCTGTTGGCCAGGAAGATGCTTTAGATTCCCCGTGATGTTCTTTGCTCCTGGGAGCAGCCCTGGCTCTCATCCTCTACAGAGGAACGAGGATTCTGAGATTTGCTGTGGCAACACAGGAGCAAGGAAGTTTAAAACTCCCTGGAATCAGCTTGCATTTCAGCTATGATTTAAGGAAGAAAACAGGATTTGTGAAGCAGCATTTCCCAAAAAAAACAACCCAACAACCACTGAGTGGGACCTCTGCCCCCTCTTCACTGGCACTGGCACAGTACTGCCATGTTCACAGCTGCTCCTGTAAAGGGCTATGAGAGCTGGCTCCTGAGATTTGCTCTTCAGAAACTACACAACCACCTGATTCTGTACTACTCTGTGATTCCCTTCATGGTTAATGAGGAGGGCAGCATAGACTCTTTCACCAATTCTCCCTCTCCCTGGATTTTAAATTCCCTCTCCCAGAGCTCTTGGTGGAAAGAAGCAATTTGTAAGAAACATTCAAAGATTCATTAAGAGGGCGTCTTGGAAGCAGAGCATCCCTAGGTTAGTATCCTAGCCAACACATGCAATGAACTATTCAGCTGGAGTAGTTCATTATTTATACAAAGTGGGATGGCTTCAGCAGGGGATACTCTGGTCTCAGAAGACAAGGTGAGACTGGGACTGAATTTTAACATAAAGTTCAGAAGATTTGAAAGAGGGTCTCTTGCTTTCCAGTGACATACTCTAATCCCTGTGTAACAGGATATTCTGGGGAGGATCCCAATTTCCTATGAAAAGGGGCTTCTCTCCTTCCAAGAAAGGACTTGATAGCATATCCAACAGGCTTGGAGTAGATGTGTACCTACCTTCCAGAGACACAACTTGCCCATATCACTCCTGAG